AGTAAACGAACAAATGAAGTTTTTTTTCAATGCAAAGATAGATAGATAGATAGATAAATAGATAAACGAAAAGTGAATGAACAAAAAGATAAAAAGATAAATAGATACTCTTTTTTCAAAAGTGAATGAATATATAAGTTATAAGCCTATATTTTAAAAAAAAAACACTTTAAAAAGATATATTCTTCATTTATGTTCACCATTCTTCGTCAAGGCTTAATAATCACTCATGGAGGACCGGACTTTTGGTCATTCATCAACACGAAGACGCGCTGTTTTTGAAGACTTAAAAAAAGAAGAAGAATGGCATCATTATTCGTCGCCTACGGGTTTTTCAATTCTGTTTCTTTTATCTGAAATTTAAAAAGACAGGCAACAATAAGCATCACTTTGGTGTTTCTGATTCATGTTTGGTGGTTCAGAATGTGCCGCATTGTCATTGTCTCTGGTATGTTGGTCTGGTTTGCGGAGTCTTAATTAAAAGAATTATGTTTTGGTAAATGTTTTACGCGCTCGCAACTGTATGAGGTCATATATGAGCGTGCGGGACACATTAAACATTTTAGTGTGGTTTGAATTAATTTCGAATTTTGGAATTGTGGCGCCGAAGTCTACTCTTATCGATTTTGGACCACCAAGGGATCTTTAATGTGCTCAACTTGTTCACGGGACCTGTGATGTTTTTTGCCCCTATATCCAAGAAGGCTATAAGGTGCTCAATCTTATCTACCGTAAAATCAGGGGTGTGGCTGAAAGACAGCAGTAAAAAGGAGGAAAGGAGTAGCAGTAGAAAGGCTGCAGAAAAAGTCAGCAGCCCAGGGGAAGGGGCAAAGGGGTGGGTGAGGTGTGGGGGAAGAAAGTGGAGACGAAAGCAGACGACAGAACAAGGTTAGAGAGCAGGAAAGGAGAGCATTTTAGAGAAAATCATTTTTCTGTTGCCTTAGAAATGAAAGGCCAACACTGTATCCTCTAGACCACGCCACCTCCCCCCAAAGGAGTTGTTACTATGGTATGTAGACATACACGTAACCAGGTACATCATGTATCAAGTTTGTGACCTGCAGTTCCACAGTGTTGTTGGATGTTATGTATGTCAAGATGCTCTGCGGTCTAGTCGTCCTCACATAAATACATGTTTAGATGAACTTAGCTAAGTCATTGCAAGCAGTGAAGAAAGGGGGGGGGGGGGGGAAACATAAAAAGATACCCCGTTCAAGACCAGAACAGATTCAGATTGCAATTAAAACCAAAATTAATTAGTTTTTTGTTCAAAGAGATGACATTTCAACAGCAAACATTTTATAACTGTTTCAACAACAAGCAGAGCAACAACAAACGTTTCTCTAGACGCAAAACATAGCCGTTAAAGAAAACATTTCTTTGTGGATTTACGGAAAAACGTTCAACTTTGATGAAAGGCAGACATACTATAAATTTAGTTTCCAAGGACACCCAAGCTTTGGAAGTGACCAAACTTTGGCGATCATTTTCTCGCTAATTTTTCCTCTGACACTAGGCTACCCACACTTCTTTCAATCACAAATATCTCGACTTCTATCCAAGATAGTAATAATAATGATAATAATAATAATAATAATAATAATAATAATAATAATAATAATAAAAATAATAATAAAAAATAGCATTTGTATAGCGCACAACCCCGCTAGACAGCAAGCTCTATGCGCTTTACACTATATTATTACCCCAGCAGACCGTAGAACACTCAGAAACATTCTCAGCTTCCCGGGAAGCATACAGTGCAAGCAGCTGATTAAGCGCTCAAACACTAACAACCTGACAAGATCTTTCACTGTCTATAGCTGGGTGCCCATTCCCACCTGGGTGAAGTGAGGAAAACTCGCGTAAAGTGCCTTTTCCAGGGACACAACGTCGGGTCCCTAACAGGATTCGAACCCACAACCTTGCGGTTGCGAGTCCGAGAGCCTAACCACTAGGCCACCGGCGCCAAAGATAGGTATTTTCTCTCACCGAACACACACAATAAATTAAACAAGTTTTAAGATAATTCCAATAACTCCTTCCCGAAACTGACAAAAGAAGCCTGATTTCATCGTTTTGAGATATAAAATGAATTCCACATCATGCCATGATCATGAACACTTTTATGCACGAGAATGACCAGGCATATTTTAGACAATGCGAAACATTTCATCAATTATGTTTTGAACTAAAGTGTTAATTACAGATTTTCTTTTTTTTTCTTTTTTGTCAGTCTTGTATTTTTAAACGAAAAGAATAAATGAAGTGCTCAGGGGGAAAAGTAGGCCTGCCCAAGAGCCAAGAGGTCATTTTGAGAGAGAGAGAGAGAGAAAAAAAAGGTTTTGAACAAAATGTTTTGAATTGTCTTTCCCGTCATCCCGTCAAAACATAAAGTTTATCCCTATTTCATTGTCACAGTATGACAGAGAAGGGTAGAATTAAATGCTGATATATTTCATTTTAATTTAATTTTTTTTTACAGATTTGGGTACTTTTAATACTTTTATCCGATCTCTTTGAAGGAATTTTCTGGAGTTGCCTCTTCACATGTCCTGGGAGAAAGCGAACACAAGGCTCCAGAAACGTGAATTCTAAATAAATAATCACAACAGGGATTATTTTAAAAAATAAATGATAAAAATAAAATTTAAGGTCCTCCGGGTCTGACAGTCAGTAGTGACACCAGCGGATGTTTTTCCATTATGGGTTAAGATAACCACTGACTGTAAGACTTGAGAAAATTGCACCTCACACCATACTTAGGCATTCTACTTCTTGACTTTTTCTATGCATATATTATGTCAGGTGTAATAGAGGACACAAGTTCGAGACAATTCTTTTTAACTTTTCTGGAATTCAGACTTTTTCAGTCTTTAAAAAAAATACTGTTCCATTCGCCATAATTAAATATTTAAAAATATATTAGAGAGAGGCACACACA